TATCTGTAGATTGGAGAATATCACTGATTCATACTTACTTTCCTGACTTTGACAAGTGCTGTATAAGAAAATGTCCTTTTAAAAGAAAAAGACTGATGTGTTGGAGGGATGGTTCAGAGGTCAAAAGCACTAGATGTTCTTCTTCCGGAGGTCCTGAGTTCAATTCCCAGCAACCACATGGTGGCTCACAACCGTTTGTAATGGGACGTAATGCTCTCTTCTGCCATGCAGGCAAACACGCAGAGTGCTCATATGTATAAATGAGTAAATCTTTTTTACAAAGGGGGAGATATATGCTTAAGTATTTGGGACAGTGCAGAAGCAATTCTCTCCCTGTTGCCCTGACATGGTGCAGGAGAAATTACAGGCTAAGTGTGTGTCTATACACACACATCCACAAATAGATGCAAAGAGAGAGTGGGAGAAAGTGCCAGGAAGATAAAACAAGTGCGGCTGAAAGTTCATATTTATAGAATGAGGCTGAAAGAGAGAGCAGGACTTTTCAGCTTATTGTTGAAGCATTTCCGAAAATCTGAATCAGTTAAGATTTTAAAAAAAAAAAAAATTTTTTTTTTTTAAGGGGAAGGAAATTGTTAAGGAAACCAGAATGATAAAATAACCATGTTAGGGGCCAGAGGCAAAGCAGAGGTAGAAGACCACAGTGAGTCTGAGGGCTGGAGCTCTTGTCTCAGCTCTGCTTCTGAGTACTACCTTGAGGCATCCTGCAGCCCCTCTACCTCAGTGTCTTCATCCACAAAACAAGAAAAAGAAGTGTTGGCCTCGCAGAGATGGAGAGAACATGGGCTCCCACTGGGGCACAAGTTCAGAATCTCCACAGCCAAGGGCCAGCAAGAAAAGCAGCAAATTAGGGATGAGAGGAACCTGCAGGGCAGGGCATGAAGATGGCGGTGGCAGGGGTGGGACGGCAGATGGGCACAGGAGGGCAGCATGGCAACAGTCAAGGAGGAGGGCAGGGAGAAGGCTCAGTTCTTCAGCCAAGACTCCTCTAGGGGCTCTGTGAGGAGGCAGCTTTCACAGAAAGATAAAGGAGGTGTTCAGTCAGAGAGGAACTCGCTGAGTTCAACAGAGCAGCAGGTCCGGCTTTAAAGCAGGCTCTGCCCTCCCCACACAACAGCCAACTGCTCCCTCTGGCTATTTCAATGGAGTTTAAGTTCGCTGAAAATTCATGTAAATTAAAAGCTCAGTTCAAGCCAGGTGTGGTAGGACATGCCTATAATCTCATAGGAGGCTGAGGCACTGTGAGTCCAGGCACAGCCCATGCTGAACAGAGAGACCCTGTCCCAAAATAAGTCAATGAAGGAATAAAAATTCAGGTCCTTGGTCACTCTGGTCATGTTCTGTGAACTCCTAACACATATTAGTAACCACCGAGGCTTCCTTCATGGAGAAGCCTCTGGTGGACAGAACGGAGACTCTGGTACCTGTCTCACGAGAAGGTTGACTCGACTATATAATGGGATGAGGTCTGGGGCAGAGGGAAGAGGGAGCAAAGAAAGGCAAAAGGAGAACGAGAAATTGAAAAGTGGAGCAAGTTCCCAATCCGGGACAGGCAGGACTAGAGTGAATGGGTTTAGGCTAGACTTAGGACAGACACAGAGACGCTCCTAAATTTCAGACCAATAAATAAATAAATAAGGATGTGGAGAGAAAGAGAAGGACATACTTGGAGCTGCAAAAGAGGGTACAACTGGATTTGCACTAAGGTGGAGGGCAATAACAGGGTGCTGATACCCTCCACTTTACCCACCAAAGGCCACGTTCTGAGAGGGAACCTGAGGTCTAAGGGATAGAAAGCTGTGGTACAGAGCAAAGCGGATGCAGCCTGGGGAACGGAATTCTTCTGTTTTATAGAACAGCAAGCCTTCATGAAATTAGAGCCAGCGTCAATTTCAAACGGAGCCAGTCCAAAGGTCTTTGTGACTGTCTCCTGGATAACTTGGCAGGCAAGGAGAAGAAAATACCGACAGTGTGGGTGCTTTGGGGATTAGAGGCTGGAATATAAGAAGTCCAAGGCCTTTGAGGTAAGAAGTACACGCCTTGAATTTCAGCACTCTGGAGGCAGAGGCAGGCAGATCTCTGAATTTGAGGGTAGCCTGCTCTACATAGTGAGTTCCAGGCTAGCCAGGCTACATAGTAAGACCCTTACTCAGGGGAAAAAATAAATCACAACATGTTAAGACCTGTTAAGATCGTATGCTAATGGGAGGTTTGGGACCCTGAAGACCTGCTGAAGCATTACAATGACAAGGATGAAGGGGTCCTCGGTGATGGTTAAAGCCAGGCACAGTAGGTGGAAGGAAGTCCAAAATCCTAGCTCTCAAATGTGAAAAACTTCCAAGACTCAGAACATTAGCAGTTGAGGGAAGATACAGGAAGAGCTCTGCAGGTCACGGTGGAGCCATGGGGGTCAAGGCTGAGGCACTCAAGGTCATTGAGTGGGACCAGCCTCAGTGTACACCCCAAAGTCATCAGCAGAACCCACAGAGAACTAGCTGCTCCCGGGTCTTTGTTTACGACTCTTTCCCAGCCTCAGGTGAAGTGGTTTCCCTGCCTGAGTGAGCAAAAGTCACCCAATAAGCCATTTTCTCTCTCCTCCTCCCTCCTTGTTCTTTTCTTTTAAGGCAAAAAACAAACAAAGAGAAAAAAAACAACAACAAAAAGACATGTGTGTATGTGTGTGTGCACTCATCCCAGCACTTACGTGTAAATCAGAAAACAACTTAGAAGAACCAGTCTCAAACATTCTGAGACTCAAGCTCAGGTTGTCCATCTTGGTGGCAGGCACCTTTATCTGCTGAGCCTTGCTTTCTACAGAAAGGGGTTTGTTGGTTGATTGGTGGTTGGCTGGTTGGTTTTGGCTTTTTAAGGTCTCACACCATTCTAAATGATTCCATTTTGATATTTGTGAGAGTCTATCTGAGGCCTGTCTTTTTTCAAAATGTGCCCAGTGATTCTGAAGGGTCACCAGGCTTAGAATGTAGGACTGTCTCTCAAGGCCCTCCTAGTTATGCTTCTGGCTCAGTCCTTGCTAAGAGTTAATGGCTTGGAGGAGACAGTAAGGAGCCAGGGCAAGGTCATCCTGGTACTTCTGATGATTAGAGCCCATCAAGAAAGGGGTGTTCTGAGGGAAGTCCAGGGCTCCCACTATGGTTTAAGGAAAAGGGGGAGATGGGCTCAGAGACAGGAAAATGAGACTACAGGAGTGTGGCTGAAAGATACAGAAAGGAGACACTGACTGGCAGAGGGTGGCCTGGGTTAGCAGCCGGCAGAGGCTGGAAAATGAGTTCCTTGCCAACGAAGGCTCTAAGGTCGGGGACGCATGGCTCACGAAAGGGTTGAGGCTCGTTGGCGGAATTCTTGGACAAGGGTGTTTGTAGCTGTGTGCTAATCGGATTTCTTACAAGTAAACATTAAAGATTTCTAAGCCCTCAGGTAGGCAAGCTGGCAGGAGCTTACTCACTCACTGAAAACTTGGCGCCCCAGCCCACATTCTCACACAGAGGAAGTCAGGTTCCTGCAAACATCAAGCGTGTCCTTGAAACACCGAGTCAGAGGCATCTCGACTGTCCGGAGACAGGAATCATGGGTACCCCGTTGTGGCCCCTTGTCGGAGAGAGAAGTTTATGGGTGGAAAATATAGAAACCGCCTCCGTGTAATTTTTAGTACCAGCTAGTGCTAAAATTAGAAGAGATACCACAGCCTGTAAGTCACCTCCACACACACACCAAGACAGAGATAATGTGTTTCTTAATAACGAACATATTTAGTCTCAGAAGCCCTAATTCGTTTATTTTTATTACATTTATCCATTTAGCTTATGTGCCATGTGTGTGCGTGCGTGCATGCGTGTGTGTGTGTGTGTGTGTGTGTGTGTGTGTGTACAACTTGGGGGGTTAGATGCTTCTCTCCTTTCACAGTGTGAGTTCTAGAGATGACACTCGGGTCATCAAGTTTGGTGGTGAGGGCATTTGCCCCACTGAGCCATCTTGCCAGCTCCCTCCCCCAAATCTTTAAAGAGCAGAGGCAAAGGTTTGCCCCTGCTTCTAGCCATTGCAGTCCGCCATTATTTCTGTGAAATAACCTCCAACAAGAGCATATAGACTTTAAGCTGAGTGCACGCATGCGCTCGTGAGACACACACACACACACACACACACACACACACACACACACACACAGCTTCTGCACATTGAAGAAATGACTCACTTCATTTGCCACTGCCTGCCACTACTGGGTTTTGATTTTACCTGTTCAGACACAAAGTTTCCTATCAGATCAACTACAGGGGGGAAAAAAAAAGTAGGCAGTAGCTTGATTCCCGATTGGGTTCAGGACTTAAGGGCGCCGAAAGGATTTTCGTCTATGCATTTTCACGGGGCTCTCTGGACCACAGACTGTTCCCTCCAATGCCTCCCATAAAACGGTAACATTTCCTGCCACTTCAGGAGCGGAATAAACACGGTTAAGTCTTGCAAAGCCAGAGGGGCCCTTCCTCAGATCACAGTACCAGCCAAACAGCCTTGAGCTGTGCTGCCACTGGAAAGAACCGGAGTCCTTCCTTCAAGGATGAGAACCACGGAACGCACGGAGGATCAGTGTGGCCAACCCACCCAAGGTCACTCAGCTCCAACTGGCCACGACCGTCCTGGCAAACTCTACACACCTTTGGCTCTTCTCAGACAGCCCCTCGGGGATCTCTGCTGTCTGCCAGCTCGCAGCCCCCGCGAAGATGCAATGCCACTTGGGCTCTGCGCCTAACTTCAGCCCTTCGCGTCAGCATGCATTTAACCCCCTCGCGCCCAGAGTGTCACATGGGGCACGCGCAGCTTCACCCCTCGTCCCCCTCTCCCCAGCACTATCCCATGCCCATCCGTGGCGGCTCCAAGGTCACACCGACGGTCCCCGTGCGAGCGCCCGCCGCTTGGATCCAGAGGACGCCCAGACGCGGTGGGGAGGGGAGACACCCCCGGAGACTCACCCGCGCGCGGATCGGGCGCTCCGCGGCTGCCCATGTCGTCGCTGGCGCCCTGGGTGCGGTGGCCGCGAGCGCGGGGCTGTGCGGGGCGAACCCGGCTGCGGGCCCGCGCTCCAATCGGCGCGAGCGCGGCCCGGCCCGGGGTTCGCGGCTCCCCCACCCGGGAAGGGCGCGAGCCGCCGCGCGCCGCCCAGAGGCGCTTCCGGGCGCGTTGCCTGGACGCGGTTGCCGTGGCAGCCCGAGCTGGAGGCTTTCCCCGCGCGCCCGCGCCCAGCCCGCCGGCGCCCCTCCTCCCGCCGCGTTCCCACGCCCAAAATAGCCTCGCTGCGGTGCCTCGGGTCCCCACCCAGGCCGCAGCAGGGAGTCGGCGGGCGGGGTCGTGCTCGCAGGAACCTCGGTCCTGTCGACTTGGAGGCAGAGGTAGGTATAGAGAAGGATGTTTTAGAGGGAAACCAGCTTTCAGGGTCAATGTCACCCGTCATTCTCCCGGGAATCCTAGCATCCCTCATGTACCAAAGCCTGATTCCCACCAAAATAGTTCACTGCTCTCCCCGCCTCAACCTGGGGAGAAGTTAGGGCTGAGGCCACGGTCCGGGGAAACGGCTCCTTCCTCCGTTGCCCCACCTGCACAGGTGATGGAAGCCTCCAGGCGACAAGTGTGTGAGGGAATCACCGAGCCTTGCGCGCCTATCAACCCAAGAGGCAGGACCCTGCTTTTCCTCCCACCCCTCCTCCTACCTTCTGCTCGCTCCCAGAGAGTCCCGGCTCTGCCCTCCTTCGCACTGGTGCCGGATTCTCAGCAGATCCACTCACAATTTCGCTTCCTCTCCGTAGGTGGGATTTGTGCGGAGTCGGGGATCCCACCTTTGCTCGCCTCGCTGTGTCTGGTTCACAGCTCTTACGTAGAGGCAAGAGCTTACCCCGGTGCGGGTGCTTCTGTGTAGCAGCCTCTCCTCAAGCCCCTCAGTTCAGGGGAGGCTGGGAGGAACGCAGGCTGTGCTGCCGCTTGGACAGCTCTGGTCTTGGAATCCTCGATCCTGTAGTTATTTATGTGTGGTCTTGTGTGTTCTGCAATTTCCTCACCTGTAAAGTAATAACTCCCCAACACACACACACGCACAGAGAGAGAGAGAGAGAGAGAGAGAGAGAGAGAGAGAGAGAGAGCGCTAAAGAATATAGCATTCATTCCATTAACTGTATATAATGAATGTCTATCAAGTGCTAGAAACTGCTTTAGCTCTAAGGAGAAATGGAGATGATGAAGATGGAGGAGGAGAAGGGGAGAAGGACTCTGCTCTTCTCTTGGCCATTACAGCCTAACACACATTAATCAAATAACTAGACACGTGTAAAAAGACTATGGTGACCAGGAGGTCATGGCCTTACGCCCTGCCTCGTGGAGATCTGACATAATAGCGTTCCTTTAGTAAGATTATTTCTCTTTCCGTATCACCTGGTGCGCAGTGCAAATATGTATCGAATTCAGTCCTACAGCAGACGGCTCTGTGGGAATTTCCACCATTTAAGATATATCTGAGGGAGACAAGGAGATGGCTCAGTGGACAGAGTGCTGGCCTTGCAAGCATGGGGACCGGAATCCCATCCTCAGAAGCCACATTTGAGAGAGAGAGAGAGAGAGAGAGAGAGAGAGAGAGAGAGAGCTCATGAAGCACATGAATCCTCATGCAGGCTCCCACACTTGCACAGAATAAATACATAATTTTTTCTAAGCCGGACATAGGGGTGGGGTGGGGGTGGGTGTTCACTTGTAACTCCAGAGCTGGGGAAGCAGAGACAGGCTGTGAGCTCAGGACTCACCGGTCATTCAGCCTTGCCTTCTTGATGATGCCTGCCTCAAAACGGTTGCCTGAAGAATGGCGTTTGAGGTTCTCCTCTCACATACCCACACCGTAACACACACACGCACACACACACGCACACACACACACACGCACACGAATGAAACATATTACTTGCTGCAGTGTTTGGAGAAACGCTGCTATTATCATAAAGTGCCAGCACTCACCACCGTGAGGCCAGAGATGGGTTCGATTGCTTCTTAACCTGTTCACAGGGGCTGCCTTCCAGTGTGGGGGGTGCCTCTCAGACACACACAAGACAGTCTGGTCCTGTCCATTTTGGTTAATTTTCCCTCCTTCTCATTCCGTTCCCTCCCTATCCTGCTCATCCTCCCAGACTCCTAGTAGTCAAGAATTCAAGGTCCTAAGAAGGTGAGGGAGCGAAGCACCTGCAGGATGGAAGACAAGTGTCACTTCTGGCGGCCTTCAAAGCAGAACTTTCATTTTTTACAAAACCTCCTCACACTGTGGGGTAAGGAAAGGGGAATCCTTGGGAGGTGAGCGATTTTGCCATAGGCATACACACACCCTTGTTTAATGTCCTTCTTAAACAGTCGTGCTGATTAACACAAGACACCAACTTTTTAAAGATTAATTTGCAAGGCAAGGTGGCCCAGGCCTGCAAATCTAGCAGTCAGGAGGACGTCACATATTCAAGGCCAGAGAGGACTACATTGTGATTTCCAGGTTAGCCTGGGTTACAGAGTGACTCTGTCTCAAAGAAAACAAAAAGTAAGAAAGATTCAATTTTTTTTTTTTTTTTAAACTATGATGCTGCAATACCAGTCTTAATATTTCAAGTCAGGCCTGTGGCTTCCTACTTAGATTCCTTTTTTTTTTTTTTTTTCTTTTTAGTCATTTTTTTTTAAAATCCTAAAGGGTCAAAATTTAGGACACAACAGTTTAAGCTTACTCTACTTTTTTCCTACCCTTTTACACAGCTGCAGGGTAAATCGCCATCAAGTACTCAGTTTTCCAGAATTGCTTTTATTGTAAATGGATTATTTTCTCTAGTGTCACTTTAATTACCAAGCCGTGAGTTATCACAAAGCACTGTATGCTAGCAGAGTTTGTTACCGAAAGCGGTTTTGTCAGGGGAAGGAAAACTGATGCGGCTTCTCTTTGAGATGGACTACGACTGTAAAGCTAAAAATGGTTTTACCAAGGAAAGCTCGGCTGGCAAGGGCCTTTGCATCCAAGCCTGAGGCGGGAGCTGGATCCCCAGGACCCACATGGCGGAGGGCAGAGGTGACTCCGGCAAGATGCTCTCTGAACTTGACGCTTGCACCAAGGCACGTGCGCCCTCCCCTCCCCAACGCAGGAATGGGTGGATCATGTGATTGTTGAACATTAATAAAAAGGAAAGCAGTCTCTTAAACCTGGTGTTATAATATTAGTTATAAGCCAGTCATCGGACAGGAACAATCTGACATTCTTCAAGGCCAGACACTTCAGGGAGCGTGCATTGATTGCGCTGCTGAGTTAACGTCCTGTCTTGGCACTGATGTAGACGATATGGTGGACAGGCTATAAAACTGGCCCTCAAGCAGACTCAACTAGTAAACATGAAGAACGGGCTGGGCAGATGGCTCACTGTATAAGTGCTTGCCAGGAACACATGACGACCGGAATTCAGACCCCTAGAGCCTGTTTATAAAGCTAGGAGGGCATGGTGGTTGCCTGTAACGCCAGCATTCAGGAGGCAGAGATAGGTGATCCCAGAAACAATCCCCCTAGCTAGACTAGCCAGAGTGGTGGGCTCCGGGATCAGTGAGAGACCTTGCCTCAAAAAAATAGAGTGGTCAAGGAAGTCACACGGTGTCAATCTTTAACCTCCACATGTCCACACATATGAGAACACACATACATGCATTCACATCACACACACGCATGAATAAAATAAAGTCAAGGGCCCAGGTTGGTTAAAAGTGGTATTTTCTGGGGCTAGAGATATGGCTCAAGATATGGTTAAGAACACTGGCTGCTCTTCCAAGTTCAATTGTCAGCATCCACAATGCAGCTCACAAGCATCTGTAACTCCAGTCCCAGGGGATCTGATGCCCTCTTCTGGCTTCTGTGGGCATACATGCATGTGGTGCACAGACATACATGCAGATAAAACATCCATACACATAAAAATAACATAAAAATATTCAAAAGTATTTGAAAAAATGTGGGTTTTGTGTGTGTGTGTGTGTGTGTGTGTGTGTGTGTGTGTGTGTGAATGTAAAGCAGACTAGCCGAAAACAACAGGATGAGTTCAGGATGGCTATATATCATTGTTACTAGTCTTCTGCTGGGCTGTGGCAACAGTGTAACCCCGTAGGCATCCAGATCTTTTGGTTGAGTCACAAGCCGCTAATCCCTAATAACAAGGGGCCAAACAATTGTCCTGTTAGGAATGGTCACAGGTGGGAACAAAGAAAAGCTTTCCTGCAGAAAGACGGGGGGGGGGGGGGGGGGGTGTGGAGAAATGCAAGGAAGACAGTGGTCACTGTTTCCTGTGTCTTTTGAGACAGTGTCTCACTATGTAAACCAAGTGTGCTGGCTGGGTTTTTGCCAACTTGACAAAAGCTAGCATCACCGAGGAAGACGGAGAGTGACAGTTCGGGCTTGTCTCCATTAGGCTGGCCTGTAGGCAAATCTGTGGGTGTTTTCTGATTAATGATTGATATGGGAGAGCCCAGACCATCGTGGTCAGTGTCACCCCTAAGCAGGTAGTCCTGAATTGTGTAAGATAGGTAGGTGAGTAAGCCCCGGGGAGCAAGCCAGTAAGCAGCACGATGCCGTGGTCTCTGCTTCAGCTCCTGCCTCAAATTCCTGGCTCGGCTTCGCTTCCCGGTAACCACAGACGGCACGAAATCCTTTCTTCCTCAGGTTGCTCTTGGCCATGATGGTGATCACAGCAGCAGAAACAAACACCTGCAATTCCTGATCTTCCTCCTCAACCTTTTGATTACTGAGATTACACGCCTGGCCAATGGTGACTGTGTTTTCTTTTGAGTCTTTTACTTATTCTTTAAAGCTTTCACCAATGCATTCAATGTCTCTTATCCTGTCCACCCATGAAACCCCCCATCCCCGTCACCCCCCTCCCCACCCCAGCTCACACACACTCCAGACTCCACTTCAGTCCCAACACGTGCCCTTCCAACCTTCATGTCCTCTCCTGCCTGGTGCCCTAAGAGGCCAGTAAAAGGAGTCAGGTCACCTTGAACTGGA